TTCACAGTAAAGTCAATAAAAAGTGCTGTGTCATGTATCACACTCGACAGTCACTCACTCTCACAGCAATGAAAGAAATCTATCATGATCTTGTTTACCAACACTTGATACACTGTCACACACTATGGGGGGCCTCTGGCTCTTCAAAAACACAATCTCTGGTTACTGCACAAAAGAGAGTTATACGGACAATGACCTACTTGAAAAAACAGATCACACAAACGAAAAATTTGTAATATTGAAAATTTTTAAATTCGAAGATATTAACACCTACTACTGTACCCTCTTTGTTTACAAATCTATCAATCACTTGCTTGACAATAATTATTTCCAGTTCCGGAATAATCAGAGATACAACTTAAGGCACCCAGAGCTACTAAGACCACCCCCCATGCGCTCCTCTCAGTCCCAGACCTCCATAAAATATCACAGTGTGAAGGTGTGGAACAAATTACACCCACCCATCCGAGCAAAGACTACGCTCCCTTCCTTTAAATCAGGGATGGCCAACCTGTCGATTGCAATTGACTGGTCGATTGCAAGATCTTCTCTAGTCGATTGCATGGCAAAGTTAAACTTAATGATCAATCCTTCTAAAGCTGCCATACAAAAATCCTCTTCAAATTTTACTCATAATCATTGGGATATTATATTTGTTTAGATTTTTTTCTGGGAATAGATTATCACTATGGACACATCAGAGCGATACATACAAAAAAACTTCGACCGTGCCATGCTGTGTGTGGCGGAACCTGATAGGAAGTGTTCGCGTTCATACGGGCCTTTTTAGAAGCAGCATATTCGTTGTTTGAAAATTTAAAAAATAAGTCTGAAATACTGTCTTCTATTAAGGATGTTCAGTTATCAAGAAACACTGTCATGAGGCGCTGTGAATTTATGGCTGAGGATTTGTGTGAACAACTGAATAAAGACATACATGAGTGTGTGTTCTTTTCATTACAATTTGATGAATCGACTGATGTGGTCGATACATCACAATTATGCATCTTCGTGAGAATGGTGTTTAAAGACATGAGTACCAAAGAGGAACTGCCGAAAATTCTATCATTAAAAGGAAAAACTCGGGATGAAGACTTATTTCAGACTCTGTGATTTTGTTAATAGTACACAGTTGCCAGTAAGTAAGCTCGTATCTAAAAATACTGATGGGGCACCTGCATTGGCTGGCCGAATCAGTGGGTTCATTGCCCTGTGCAGGAGTGATGATAGGTTTCCTAACTTCTTTTTTGGCCTCAAAAGATTGGCCTTTAGATCACAACAAAGTGTGGCTGTTAGATTTAGCTTTTTTAGATGGCATGACTGCTATGCTGAATAAACTAAACTTAGATCTGCAAGGGAAAATAAAACTATAGTTGACATGATTAATCCTGTGGCTGCTTTCAAGCAGAAACTAAAACTAGTGTCTTCGCAGCTGCAGCAACATCAACTACGAAACTTCAGAAATATGATGTCTGAACTAGAAAACCAAGGAAAAGACTGTGACCAGTTTGACAGGACTCGATATATTGAACAGGTGCAAAACCTTGCCTCATATTTTGACAGACGGTTTCAAGATATAGCAACAATAGAACCTGTTGCAACATATATGTGTTTTCCGTTTGGTAAAATCACAAATGTTGAAGATATTGCATCTAGAATGGCATCAGTATTTAACATGGACATATCTGAAGTCGAAAATGAGCTTCTGAAGCTTAAAAATGATACTCAGATCAAATCCAGGGCAACAGGAGGAAGTTTCTGGAACCGTCTCAGTGAAGAAAAATATCCCAATGTCAGAAAATGTGCCATGTACCTCACAGCATTTTTTGGATCAACCTACCTTTGTGAATCAACATTTTCACACATGAAACACATCAAATCCAAATATCGATCAACAATGTCAGATGAACACCTGGATGCTTGCTTGAGGCTAGCAGTCACCGCCTACAGTCCTAATTACACAAAGCTGGCAGACAACATGCAGTGCTAACCATCTCATTAGTAAACTAAGTTTATGATTTTGTTATGTTAACAATATAGCAACAATTATTGAAAAATATTATTTGTTTACCCTCTCTCTCTCTCTCTCTTTCTCTACGAATCTGCGTATTTTATGGCAATGGGTGAATATTAGGCTGGTAGATCGCGTCAGGGTAACTGTGGAAAAAGTAGGTCACATCACACAAAAGGTTGGCCACCCCTGCTTTAAATCATCTCTTAAAAAATATCTATTGTCTAAGTATTAATATTTCTTGTTTCACCTGCTTTTATTGTACCATCAAAACCGTTTTATCGGAAATTATCATGTAAAGAGATAAGTAATTACCATTGCAATAAACATAATTACCAACTAGACATAATCCTGACAGCTCTGTCCTCTTGTTCAACCTTATTACTGTACAACCCATGTTGTACTGCTCCCCCATTATACTTATGTTTTTTTTTCAATTCCACTGTAATTTATGTATATATAATAAATAAATAAAATAAACTAAAAAATATATATTAATAAATAAACAAAATTAATAAATATTGAAGTGATAACCGTGGTAACATTATGGCATGTTCTTATTACCACCAGGCTATTGTATTATTCCAGATGATACTAATGTTATATAATACTTCCTTGAGATAAATGTATAGTATATATCAGGTGCCTCAAAGAGAGCTCAGGTTCTCAACTGGCTCAGCCATGTTAATATTGTTATTATTATCCACTCTGTATCTGTGTTCTTTTGGCTAAATAAACTGTTTCAATTCAATTCAACGTGGCGCGTAGGTTGTGACGTCATCGTGCTCTACATAACGGTTGCTAGGTTACGCTTATCACGGCATGAGTCTAGGCTCTAGGCAAGGCGATGTATTTTCCCAAACTTTCAATACCACCGCTGTCTGTAATCATCGTGAAATTTCGGTTAATATTCAATGAGATACTTTAGGATGAGGGAATGGTGGTAGAGATATTAAAGGGGAAAACTGAAGGTGGAAAAGCCAGAAGAAGGCAGAAACCGGGATGGATAGAGATCAAAATTTACGTATCCAGAGATATACAGAATCTGGGAGAATTAGTAATGGCTGCCTGAAAACGTTTGGAGAGGAGAGCCATGGTTGCCAACCCTTACACATGAGAATGTCACCTTGATTGATTGATCCAGCGGTAGTTGCTTGTTAAATAGTGATATTCTTGGGTGAACCTGAGATTCGTGTCTGTCTGGGATAAGAAGTATTACAGTAGATATTGCGGGTGATGTCATGTTGTTCTGAACTTTTGAGTGAGACATTTGTTTCAAGGCGCACGTGTCCGATAAAAGTTATGTTGGCGGCCCGGGGTATGTTTTACTTGTTGGAAGGTTATTGTTAGGTCGTGTGTATAAGAAGGCAATAATATGGTAGGTGAGAGGCTCCAGGTCCAGGGTAAGTTGAAGAATGGGAGACAGGACACACCCCTACTAGATGATGTTCCACTTGGCAAAACTCCTCCTTCTGCGTGTATGGGGACTTAAAGGCATCATCAGTATTATCTTAACCAACTGGAGCGTCGCAGGTTCATGGTACTGTTTCGACACACACAATCAGGAACAATGGAGGGATTAAACAAGCCACTGGTTCCCTTCCCCGTTAGAGGTAAATAAAAAAAAATGGTTTCAAAACAACTTTGCAAATATGAACACCCCTGACACACCAGGGGTTTTCAGATTGTATTAATACTGTACTTTTTAAAACCATGATGCTGTAGGGTAAAATCGCAGCATAATGTACTGACATATTAAGAATGACAAAATCCCACCAGTTCTAACTCCTAACTATAATATCCGTAATTACAGTACGTCAGACAAACGAAAAAAAATATTCAAAATTATATAAATCTAACTCACGTATCCTAGTTAACGCGTAGATATTGCGTTGAATTCTCGCCCGCAGGCTGCCAGCAACTGCGTCGTTATAAAATATCAATACTTCCGTTCATGTCGGCTTATAAAGAGAAATCAATATACTTCCCTTCAAACGTATCTAACCAGCCACTTATAATATTGCTGATTTGGAAAACTACACTATACAGTACTGTAGTAAGAATGTGCGATGGCAGGGCCTACATCAGTGCACTATCATGAATTAGTGTTATTATCACCCTTTAAGAAAATCTATGGAGTAATATTAATGTTTCCTAGAATTGAATATCGTTAATTATGCATCAAATATGCTGTTTCCTTCCGCTAAAGCAAGTACGCGTTACATTGTAATCTAATGTTTAATTTTTTTATGCACCACGTACTCATTCATAGGAGGCAATATAACAGTCAGAGCTGTGACTATTGATTAAATACTGTAATTGCATGTTAGTTTAACTCGGATTTACTGGAAATATTCCTGAAACAGTCGACTTCAATTTGCAACTAAAATGGTCACCAAAAGGCATCTTTAACTGCTTTGACGTCAATCACAACGAAGCTGGGTAACGGAACTTACTTCAAGCTACCAAGAGATACTAGGCGGCTGCTTTTACAGAGTTACCGGCTGATATTGTCAAGCTGAATCGATTGGGGACTTTCAAACGGGTATTTGGTGAATCATAACATCTGTCCCGGGTCGCCCACACCCGTTTGTGCGTCAGTTTGTCGCCCTTACCTGATGACGCAGTATCTTTTAGTTTCCAAATACCTCCATATATTATCTCTTTATGTTTTTATATGTATTTTCACTTAGGCACCGCTATGTTTCTTATATTACGAATCATTTTCTGATTAGATTTTTCAACGAAAATTGCAGGTGTAAGAAATGAAGCAAGTGGTTAAGGGAGTAGGTAATTAGTGTTGAAGAAGTTGGTGTTGCAGCACGTGGCAGACTAGAGGGAGAGAGTGGCGCAACTCCCTTGCGCCACTCTCTCCCTTATTATACCCCGTTCCGCTCTCACCGTAGGTCCTACACGTGGCACCTGGCTCCCTTGTTTTAAGTCTCGCCTATTCTCTGGACGGTTTAACGGAGTCCTAGTGTTTTTTAATAATCGCCTTTATGCTTTTTATTATCTACCTGGTTATTTTTCCGAAGTGTCATTAAGAACTATCACTGCAATCAATGCAGGAAGTTGAGCGCCTGCAGTAGTGCATTGACGCGTCAGGTCACTCGAAGTGCCTACTTGATATTGCAAGTCTTGTAAAACCTGTTTCGTGTCGTAAATTATGTAAACATGTTGGTTTTCATGGAAACATTTATATTTAATGTGTCAAGTAACTAATGCGTGTATGTAAACATATTAATACAACGCAAACGTTATTACGACTTGTTATGTAATTTTCTGTTCAGTAGGGTCCCTTTACTGTTTTTTTATAAACCAATTTATCAAGATTTGCACATTTATTAAATTGTTTTTTCATAATTATCATATAATTCCTCTCATTGTTAAAATGTAATACATTTACTCATGAATATGTTAAGCTGTGTTTCACGAAGAATACTTTCTATTATTTGTATTTCAAATGTCTCATTCCCATCTACAGGACAACCACCCCTCTCTTAACTAAATGTAGCAGTCAGTGTTAGCAATAACAGACAAACACACCAGAAAAACACTGACAAATAAAGACCGTCGTTGAGGAGTGAAGCCAGTAATAAGGGTTGAGCGGCCGCCGACATTATTGGAACATGTTGATGTTTGTGACGTAGATAGTGTATCTGTAAACAAAATGGCCAAGTTATCTAGCGAGGAGAGGGCGCTCTTCCCGCTCAGTGATATTGAATCAGTGGTTAAACTTTTTAGACTCCATTTGGAGAGAAACAGTGAGCCTAACTTGGCGATATTGTCTATAATCATCGGGCATATTGAGAATACTCTCACATGTTCGCGCGTAGTGACTGAACCTCCAGTGGGTTATGATTCTGGCAAGTACTCTGAGAACTACCGTACACTGCCTGTGGTAGAGTATGAAACAGTAGAGGCCCTCCACCACAGGTTTCTGGCAATTATCAAAGCTCATGTGGATGTGACAGCTTTCGGCACCCCTCGATATGCCACCAGAGAACTTGTGAAACGTATATCAGACGTGGTGTGGTGTACACTTTCCAGCAGCTACTACAAGGACAGAGCCCACCTACAGTCTATCTACAGTTATATGACAGGTCAGTACTACTGCTATACGCCCATATATATTTATAGGCTTTCCACCAATCTATGTACTTCAGGAGTATGTGTATATGTAATAATTTATAAGAAGGCAACATTCTATTATGTAATTATATTCGTGACTAATGCAGGTTTAAGAAATTGAAAGATTAATGAATTAGCTGTTATTTGAACTTAAGTACAGTACATTTTAAACCTTTGAGAAGAAGTAAGGCTTAACCTAACATGATAGCTGTTGAGCATATGTTGGTTAACAAATTCTTTACCATCAAAGGATTTTTTTTCTGTAATTATTCAGCATTGTATTGTGAAGTCCATTGCATAATACTACTGGTAGCATTTTACTTTTAATTTGTGATTTTTAGTTAGGTAATACTTTATGAAACTGACTCGAAGGAACGTGCAACGTTTGGAAAAAAAATTATGGAAGAAAACTTTTCTCATATCTTGAATATCAATAAAACAGTGAAGGAATAGCAAATTTCCTTTTCGGGTAATAGTGAAGGAGACGGTTAGCGCCAGGACTTTATGGAATCGCACCAAATTTTCAAATGTTGTTTGGATGATAAGTAAGAAAATTGAAACAACAATGCACAGAACTTATTAGAACCTTACCTACCAACACCTAACCTCATCTAACTTCCTAACCTGTGCATTGTCATTTCAATTTTCATATTTACTATCATCTAAATAACACCTAGAAAAAAATGAATTCAATCCAATACAAATCGTAATGAACATGTCAGATGTGATTTTCGTTCGCTATTCACATGTAAACAAAGACGGTGGATGCTTCCGTATGGCAGACGATGTGAACCAAAACAGGGTCACCACAAGAGAGCTGACGGTGCCATTACAGTATGATACATAATTTATTTCTTCTCCTACAAAGTACATAGAGATGTGAAATTACTGCCATATGATCAGTGTTTGCAGTGTTTTTACCCCGTTATTTCCCTCTCTTTTCATGATCAAAGGATAGGTTGTTTAATGAGGTTGGGTTTGGTTGGCTTGTTTTGCTGTTAAGGAAGGTTAGGTTTGGTTGGTTTGTTTTGCTGTTAAGGAAGGAAGGAAGGTTAGGTTAGGTTAGGTTAGGTTAGGTTTGGTTTGGTTTGGTTTGGTTTGGTTGGTTTGCTGTTAAGGAAGGTTAGGTTTGGTTGTTTTAAAATATAGTTATGTAGTTTGTATGGTTATTATGTGAGTCATTTACTAATATGGTTAGTGGATGTGTGTTATGGGCTTGATTTTTAATTACAAGCGATGTGGAGACATTGCAACTGTTTTATTAGATAGGAACAAATTTCAGGGAACATGCAAAACTAAAGTTGAGAAAGTAAGCTGCACAATTTAAGTAGCTAAGCTATTTCTTTACTTTATTTTTGGATACAAAATTACTATCTTAGTAATGAATATACTGTACTGTACCTTGTGTAATGTTTTAATTTTTATACTGTACTGTATATGAAAATTTACCTCGGTGTTTTAAGGAATGATAAACTAATGAAACTTGAGAAATAAGACATTGCAAGGCTGGACGATGATGAACTCTTGTGTTGGGAGGTGTCCTGTACTGCACTGTACTTTATTTTTGCTTTTATGTTTTTGAGGTGGAACACAATTTTGGAAAACATTTAACAAGTTAATTATGGTTAGGCTAAATTACCAGTCATGGCAATAGCTTGACAGGCTATTTTGGGCTCTTGCCAGTCCATTGTTTATGTACTGGTAATAGAAATGATGATATACTGTACAGGTAATATTAATTATTGTAGTATGCAAAGAAAAACATGACATGATGATATTTATGTACAAAAAATTTATTGTTTAGGTTAGGTTAGGAACCAGCAAAATAGCCCAAAACGGCCTATGAGCAATTGCTGTGACCAGTAATTTCGCCTGTCAGGCTATTTTGGTGAGATCGATAATTTTACCACTGCCAATTAATAAATGCTAAAACAGTTTCTCATAAGAATGTTGTAAGAACAAATCAAGTACCCGTAGTTGAAATTTTAGTATGCTGTACAGTATGCCCCCCAAGTTCGCGGATTTTTACTTCACGGCTCTCGGTTATTCTCGGATGACACCCTGGATGTACCCAAGAATGTCTGTGGGTAGTTTTAAAGCTGCTGGAATTTTCACGACTAGGAGCCATTTGTTCTAGAGGCAGAAATTTCCTTTACCTGTACAAGGTATTGTAAATACAGGTATGTGTGTGTTTGTAGACTCACACACTCACAAAACACATACAAATAAATAAAAATAGGAAAATCCTCTAACACAAATAATCAGAAACAAATTTATGAAAATGTAACAGTTCACCTTCAAGTCCGTTCTCTATTACTTTATGAAGAGAGCATGGACTTGAGGGTAGACTCACATATATAATACTACATGTAAAAGAAATAATTGTCCTAAGGGGAAACACATAAAGGGACTATACATTTCTTTGTACACAAGTAAAAATGTGCCCCCGATCCGCAAATGTTATTTGGCGATTCGCGGCCTCGGCCACTTTGAGAACTCAACCCCCGCGAATTATAGGGGCCCCTGTATTTTGAAACAATGTACTGTACAGTAATATGATACCGTACCAGATTATTGCTCGAGGACGTTCAGGAATAATTTGCGGAGTTAAAATTGGATGTCAGAATTAATGAGCATTAAATCAGTATATGAATTGAAATAATATACTCACCATATTTATGCTGTGTCTTTACTGAATGTGTAAACAATTATTTTTCATATTCACCACCTTGATGGACGATGACATAGGCAGGAAAACATTCATAAAACAAAGCTTTGAGGGTTAGAGGTTATAAGTCTAAATAAATGTTTATCTCTACTGTATTTCCCTTCGTATTTATAAGAAAATTAATTGTCATTTATACTCTGAAGGTTTTGTATTTTTAGCACCAAAGAATAAAATATTAAATATTTCTGTTTAACCAATGGCGTGTATTCCTAAGAAGCGAGGTACGGTGAACATTGTTTACCGGTTACCCTCGAAAAATTCTCCCTTCAAAATTAAAATACTGTGTCTCTTTGTTTAGTTGACATATTATTTATTTGTGCTATACTGTACAGTATACTGTACAGTATAGCATTGTGCACTGTGAATTTAAACCTGCTGTAATAGGAGTCCACACTTTTGGGACTTGAAGGACAGGAGTGTTTGCTACTTGCAAATCTATCCCTTGAATACTCAATACTGTATTCAATTTGCAGTATCCTCTTCCGCCCTTTTGCAGGGTAAAATAATATGCCACTGCCAGATGTAAGATGAAAACAATTACTTTATATTATATTAACCCACTTTTTCCCAAATTTATGTAAATAGGATTCAGGTCAATTTAATAGGCTGTGAAAAGCATTCTGAGGCTGGAATTTCCCCTCAATAATATTTTTGGTCATCACAGAGTCGCCCTTGACTCATGAGACATAAAGGCAAGCATGAACTTAGCATGCTTCCCTGTTGGGTGCTGTAAACGCTCCTGCGCTTCACCTTACACAAGGATGTAGGGGGGTGCCCAATAAATAAAAAAATAAATAAATAAAAAAAAAGAGTAGAATTCCATTTGTTAAAGATTTGGGCAACAAAAGCACAGCGTACACCTGGTTGTCCCTCCCCTACTACAGGTTGTACCTCTCTAGTCCGGCATTCTGTGGTCCAGAAACTCCCGTGGTCCGGAACGATTTTAGTTTGCCCAATAGGTAGATAGGCAGCTAATCCCCGTAAAAAAACAACAACAACAAAGCCGCGGGAAATTAAGGTTTGTTTACATCCGGCAGTTCGGCTCTCTCTCTCTCTGTTTGTCTATACAGTACAGAGTACAACATTTAACCCTTCAATATATATGAACAGTAATAAGTGTTGCTTTCATATTCTTATGTAGAGTAATGACGATATGTTTTCACCTGTGCTCACTTACATACGTGCAGTATCACTTTTTTCTTTAACATTAATGGTTAGCTACTTGTATTGTTCCATTTATTAACATTAAATAACATTACTTCAAGCAACCATATAAATTATTACATTAATTTTACTACAGCTACAACCAGGGTCTTATTTTCTTGTTTTATATGTAGAACCAATCAGTCACTGGTTTTGTAAACATTAACGAAAACAATGCAGGCAGCTGTCTTGTCTCCTCGTGTGTTTTAATAATCCACGAATTATTAATGAATTGTATTGTTCATTTTGCACACATAAACATTAATTCAATAAAAAAAATTCAGAAACATTAATTAAAACATATATGAACAGTAAATAAGTGTTGCTTTCATATTCTTATGTAGAGTAATGACGATATGTTTTTCACATGTGCGCACTTACATACGCGCAGTATCACTTTTTTCCTTTAACATTAATGGTTTGCTACTTTTATTGTTCTATTTATTAACATTAAATAACATTACTTAAAACAACCATCTTAATTTTTTACATTAATTTTACTACAGCTACAACCAGGGTCTTATTTTCTTGTTTTATATGTAGAACCAATCAGTCACTGGTTTTGTAATCAACGAAAACAATGCTGTCTCATTTCCTCGTGTGTTTTAATATTCTACGTATTATTAATGAATTGTATTGCTCATTTTGCACACATAAACATTAATTCAATCAAAAAGACATTCAGTAATAAACAATAATGAATCTTTTGTACAGAGAAATGACGCTGTTTATACGATTGTGCACGTCATCTGAATGGTGGCGGGCCGTTCATACCCGTTACGCCGTCAAAATTTTTAATTATGTAGTGTTTTTTTTTGTGTCCAAATAAAAAATGTTGAATTAAAAACTCGCGAAATTTGAGAAGCTACTGTACGACATTTAACCCTTCAATATGTCTTCAAAGAGACCACGAAGCAGTGAAAGTGGTGCTAACGTAAGCGCAAGTCACTATCTGTCCAGGAAAAGGGTGAATTTCCACGGTCCGGCACTGGTCAGGTCCCGAGGTTGCCGGACTAGAGAGGTACAACCTGTACTACCCCT